ATCTTTGTTGACCAAAACTTGAGTTCGTCAACCTTCCCTGCCTGTGTCTAATTTGGTGACACTCAGTAATACAGTGACAAGTGTCACTATACATGCACATGCAAAGTTGGGGCATTTTGGAGGGGGAGAGTCTGCCTGCTTTCACATTATAGGAAGAGATGATTTATTTTCAAAATCCAATGCAAACATATATATATATCAAAAAATTATAGGCTCAGAAGTGTCTTGATAGAAATCTATATCACCACACTCTGTTAACCATCAACCAAACAGTCCATAACAAACTAACTTGATAATGAAGAATCCAAATGATTAGCAATTTGTAATTAAAAAGCAAGTATAGAAGCAATTTAAAGCTGGATCTAAATCAAGACAAAACTAATGATTCATTGATAACAAAGTACTATTTCCAAAAGTTGTTGAAAGTACAATTAAACGGATACATGGAGTAGGAGTTTTGCAATGCTGCCAAGCATTAAGTGACAGCCAGATATTTTAGAAGAATACAGAATTAGAGTGTGCAGTAAACTCTAACATAACTAATTTTAGTTTATAATTTTAATAGCCCCTTCTAAATCACTGAGCTACTAGCTAGTCTTTAGTAATATGAGAAAATGAATGCCTATAAATTTGTGATCTTTTACTCATATGCAAAGGATTACAATTCATGCAAAGGATTACAATTTTGGAGTGGTTAACAGCCCACCAATGGACCTCGGAATATACTCTGCAAGGTCTAGTTGAACACTGAAGTCCAGAAATGAAAGTGACTTGCCCAAAATGTTAGTGGCTCCACCTAGGTTGGAACTCAGGCATCCTAGTCCCTGGTCAATGTGTTATTTTGGCTTTCCCATGATGATACCTTGAATTTAGGGCCTGATTAGAGCAGGAGATAATGAATCTACAGCAGTGAAATAATCTATTGTGAATTTAGACAGACCTCTGAGTTCTTACCCTAATTTTGACTCAGGTGTTAATATATTTATTGTTGTTGCTCCCCGAGGATGACCTTGGTAATAATATCATAGTTATAAAACACCTTATTATTGACTGACTGCTTTCAGGAAAATTTTATTATTTGCTCTTTGGAATCAATCTTGTATGGTAAGTGCCACTGTTATTTCTATCATTATGCTACAGATGATGAAACTGAGACTTGGAAAAGTTAAAGTGACTCATGAGTGTGCAGATAAAATGTTTGCCCAGGTTTTTTTTCTTTTTTTTTTTTTTTATTCTTTCCTTAAATTTTTTATTGATGTTTCTAATTATAAAATGTTTCATAATCATGTAGAAATCATAAAATATCATAAAAAATATAGAAAATGGAAGGATAATTTAATAAGAAAAAAATAAAATCAGGCAAAGAAAACTACTGGTTTTCTTTCCCTTTCTTTCCCTTCTCTCTTCCATGCATAGATTTAGAATGAGAGTCATTGTGTATATACTATTTTTT